CCCCTTAGTTTTGTCGTTAGGGCAGGTGAGAACAGAGAAAGTGTGTGCATTTCAACCTCTCCGTCTGATCAAAGAAATGGAAGGAAAAAAGTAATAAAGAGACAGACACTGTACACTGTGCATGAGAATGAAATCATTATTTGTTCTTTTTCAGAGTTCTCTGTTTGTCCGCATACAGTACTAATTGCTCATTTGTCGACAGACCTTTACGAACCCGAATATCCCGTAAATATCTCTGAACTCGGGTCTGTTGAGCAATTTGATCGTCAATCACTTCATCATCACTGTCAGTCGGGGCAGCTGCGCCACCGGGGCCGCCTGCATTGGTCACTTTTTTACCTTTCGATAGCACAGTGGATGACGGATCACTCCGATGCGTGGGGTAAGTTTGTTTTATGTTCGAATCACTTGATCCGGTCATCTTTTTGCCACCACGCTTGCGTTCCCGAGCCGACGTCCCAAACGCGTCAGCCATATTTGAAGACCGGATGCCAATTATCCCACTTTTCGTGCCAGCACCGTCGAAAAGTAAATCCCGTTGTGTGGGATCGATATCCAAAAGCTCCCATCCGCCGGGTCGTAACTGTGGTAGATTCACGATACCATTCGTGCGAGAGCGAAGTTCATCGGCCAGACCGAAACTTTCGATCACGGGCAGACGAGCGGAAATCACGAATAAATTTTCACCTTCACGAAAATCTTCACTGACCACATGGCCATGTCTTTTACGGAGCACAGCGAACATTCGACCGAGAACTTCGGGTTTCGCCTAGCAATTCGAAAGGGGAAAGTTGGAATATTTTTGAGAAAACGAAGATGCATAGTTTAATTAATCTTACGACAAGTTTATATACGATTATACAGAAGTGAGAAAAACGACTTACCGTGCATATAGCGCGAATAACTTAGGCTATCAGTGTTTAACCCTTTCAAGTATGTTATGCTACCACATCATTCTGCGAATTCTTTCACGCTGTGCCGGGTAAAAACCGTTTAGTTGATTCAGGAGGAATAAGGAGAATATTGATAAAAAAGGCTATACAGAATACAAGTCAACGGGAAATTTGTACTTTTGACAAATTGCTTTATCTCAAAATGCATGATGGTGAAAACTCATAGTGCTCGTTGTGATCGTATCTCCGTGGGTTACTTATAAACGATTGGCGTTCTCCAAGCAGGCATAAAAGAAAGACGGGAATTCGACTCACGAATGATGTCAGCAGTGCGATAAAAAATACAGTGTCTACAATGAGATACAAGTTGGATTTCCACAAAACCGGTAGTGCGCTGCCAGGGGACTTTTGACCAAGTCATGCATATATTACTTACTATGATATATATATATATGACAGTTTGGTAAACAACGATGTTGATTGTTGTTTTTG